CAGGCCTGCCCTGAGTTGGCCTTGTCCACTCCTAGAGGCAGAGCCTGGCACTACCTCACAGCTCCCTGGGGACGGCCACTCCCCGGCTGAGGGCCCTCCCCTCCCCTCTGCCTGTTCAGAACAGGAGGCTGAAATGGAAAAGCTGCCTCAGCCCTGCTTGGCTGAGTCATGAGGGGCAGTGGCCTCTCGGGTGCTCTTCCACCCTGAACCTGGCTCCCCCCCTCTTCCTAGGCCTGGGGGCAGACTGTTCCTAGCATGTACCCCTCTCAGGCTGCCTGCCTGACAATGTCAGCATAGTTTGCTCTCCTGAATTTATGAGGTTTATTTATTTTTCTCCTTCCTGCTCCTATTAAAGAACCTCATCCCAGTATTTCCTGCTTAAGCCTGGTCTCTATTCTACAGGTAGGAAATGGGGAGCAGGGTAGTGGAGTGTCCCTGAAATGAAACAGGCTGGGGAAAAAAATCTCTTGGGAGCTGAACCCAGGGTTAGGTCCTGTCCAGAGTCCAGTGAAACGGTCCTGCCTCTGGGCTTGAAGAGGATTCATTTCCCCTTCTGCTGGTCCTGATGCCACAATCACTGGAAAATTATGTCACTCCCTCTTTGCCCCCACACAGATGTGGCCCTTCATTGTTTCCACTCTCGGGGTTGGAGCAGAAGAGCTGAGTACAAAGATGTCCCCTATTTTGGGGGGAACTCCAAACTTTTAGGCAATCTAGGCCCCTTTACGAAGACAGAGTGGTTGGATGATCAGGCCCCTATAGCAGCTTTGGTTGACCTCAAAACTTGTTGTAGAGGGGCTGGTGGGCAGCCACTCACTGCACCGATGACATGATCTCATATCCCAAATAGGGACAGGCAGTGTCTTAGGAGAGGCAGAGGGGGTTGATTCTGGGAAGAGGTTGTGTTCTTATTAGAGAGTTACAGCAGATGCCATTAGCTGTGAGCACCTGTTCCTCTGGAAGGCAAACAGGTCCTCCTGCCCCCACCCTGCCATCCCATCCCTCTGGGAGTCTGACCTCTGGGATTCTGCCAGGCCCTGGCTGTAGGGTGAGGTGAGGGGGCCTGATCATTTACTGGGCTAAGGCCTAGCATTGATCAGCCTGCTCCCTACATCACTACAGACTGGATACACTGGGGCAGACACCTGCACCCCAGGGCAGTGCCTTATGTTCAACCTTTCTGCCGGGCACTGGGCCGTAAAGGTGAGGATTCAGGCCTAGAGGAACTCACTGACCCAGGCATGTGCACGTAAGCCAGAGCCAGAGCTCAGTGGAGCCCACTGGGCAGCCCCCAGATATTGCTGATGACTGTTCAGGAGAAGGAAAAGCTGCCTTCCCCTCGCCTCTGGGCCAGGTCATGCAGAGTCTCTGGGCTCCCAGTTTGGAGCTGGGTAGCCCAGGAATGGGGAAGGCGATGCAATTCTGCCCCTGGAGACAGCTCTGCACAGCAGACTGGGACCTTCCCATGTGGCCAGGCCTGGATACCCGCCTCCCTGCTTTCCTCCCAAAAAGGCAAGGTGTCCTTTGGACAAATGCCATCTCTGGGCCTTGGAGATGAATTAGTCTCTTGCTGCAGGTGATGTACAGAGGAAGAGCTGACGCCCTCCCTTGGGGTACTGGGGCAGGTGAAGGACACCTGGGTTCCCTCACTGCTATGTATCTATGGGACTGGGGCAAGGCTCCCTTTCACCCCTCATGCCTCAGTTTCACCTTTTGCACAAAGAGAAGGGTCTCTACCCTTTTCCCAATCCCATTGCTGACTCAGACTCGAGTCCCCTGCTGACTCACCCCGCCCCCTGCATCCCCTGAGCAGCCCTCTGGATCTCCCAGACACGTGCCACCAGGCCCTACCCTGCCAAGCTGGTGCAACGTGACAGCGTGAGGGGGCTGGTGACACTTGAGGAAAGAAGGGGCCCAGGAAGGAGGCAGTTGCAGACACAGTGACAGACCACACTGAGGTATCTTGGGGAGGGAGCCCTTTTGCCAGCCTGGGGCCTGCTGGGGGGACAGGCCCAGCAGGTGGGATGCGAGGGGAGAAGAGGGGAGGTGAGTATGACGTGTCTGCCTGCCCCCTGCCTGCCTGGGCTCCATCTCCTGTCAGCCTTCAGCTCCCTAAGCGACAGCTTCTAATTCCGGCTGTTGGTGCCTCTGTGCTCTGCAGCAAAGTCTCAGCTTTTTTTCAGCTTTGCTGTTTCTTTTCTGTTCAGAACATACTGAGCCCACAGGGAAGTCAGAGCAAAGGCTCCAGGGCTCGAGACCTGGCACCACCACCCCCTTCCTGCCATGGGAACCAACTGCTCCTTCCAAAGGGTACCCAGCACAGCACTTTCTGCCCTAACTCTTCTTCCCTGGAACTGTCTCAGTCCACCACGGGGAACAGGGACAGAAATGAAGCTCAGCTGTCTCAGGGAGGAGGGGCTCTTCAGGACCAAGAAAGTGCCCATTCTGGGTTTCTACTGTTTCTCTCCTCCACCTGGGGGGTGCGAGTCATGGCTTGTCAGGCTGGTGGGCCACACACAGGTTCCAGGGTTGCTCCCTCCTCTGACCTTGGAAATAGAAGGAAAGAAAGCAATTTCCCTCACACTGCTGAAAAGAGAAGTTGAGTCATAAAGGGAAGAAAAGCCTTTCTTCTGCTGAGTCAAGAAGGACAGCATTCCTGCCCAGTTATTGGGGGTGGAGAGTCTGTACCCATTTCTGGGGGCCACCCCAGAAGGGGGCCCTAGCTCTGGGGGCGGGAGCAGCTTTGAGGGCTGCACTCTAAATAACTATGCAGTTCTAGAAAAAACAAAACAAAACAAAAAAAATGAAATAACTATGCAGCTCTTTCCCTGACACTCTCTAACTTGTTCTTGTGTAAAGCAGGCAGGGCTGGTATTTATCAGTCTCATTTTGCAGCTGAGAATATGCAGGCTTGGAGCCACAATGCTAGTAAATGCCTTCAAGCTGGGACTTAACGCTGATGTCAGATCTGTGGCCTTTCTATGACACCAGGAAAGAAAACTGGCAGAGCCCTGACCAAACGCTTAACAAATGCAAAAAGAGAAAAGGGGGGCTTCATAGTGGGTGCAGGTACACATCACATGCTCCTCACGTGACAGAGGGGAGTGGGAGCCTCTGGTCCATGGCCTGGGCACCAAATTCAAGGTGGACATCACTGGAGCCTGGGAGCTGGAGAGAGGCAAGGGGCTCAGGGTGCAGGGCCGTGAGCCCACTTTGCCACGCCCATCTATGCCCAGTACCTTTCCCCAGGCATCTCCTACTGCAAAGCATCTGCTCAGGCTGAGAACACCATCATTCTTTCCTTATTTCCCCTCTCTGATAGGAAGGGAACCCTTAAAGCAGCCCTCAATAGTGTCCCCTGAAGGTTTATCCTGCTTCCAAGCCTTTGCCTCCAGAACCCGTTTGGAATTACTTCCTTTTTTTTTTTTGAGACAGAGTCTGGCTTTGTCACCCAGGCTGGAGTGCAGTGGCGTGATCTTGGCTCACTGCAACCTCCGCCTCCCAGGTTCAAGCGATTCTCCTGCCTCAGCCTCCCAAGTAGCTGGGCCTGCAGGCACGTGCCACCATGCCCAGGTAATTTTTGTATTTTTAGTAGACATGGGGTTTCACCATGTTGGCCAGGATGGTCTCGATCCCTTGAACTCGTGATCCGCCCGTCTCGGCCTCCCAAGGTGTTGGGATTACAAGCGTGAGCCACTGCGCCCGGCCTGGGATTCTTTCCTTGGAAATAGCCCAGATCCCGCACATCCTTGAAGTCCTGTCTTTAGAAGGCCCCAGAGCCCTCTCTTCCCCACAACTCCATCTTTTCATCCAAGGACTGTGTTGGTAGGTATTTAGCAGATGTATTCAGCCCTCAGAAGACAACGTCCACTTTTTAAGTCCCAGTGTTGTCTTCTTAAGAGGGGGAACGTCTCGCATCCAGAACCGAGCTTCTGTCTCTCTCTTACCGCTGCTGGCAACAAAATGTGCGGCTCATGAAAAGTCTCAGTCAATTCTGCAGCTGATACCTGCTTCACTCCTTTACAAATACCCATTCCAACCCTACTCACTCCCTCCCCACCACCCACACCCAGGCTCTGATGCGCCCTAACTCCGCTCCGCCCAGGCTTGTGTATCATCCCCCTCCTCCAGGACCGAGGGGGACCTGCTGGCCGGAGGGAGAAGGAGATGCAGCGGCTTCTCTAAGCATCTTACAGCAAATGGAACTTGTGCTCGCCTCCTGTCCTTAGGTGCCAGCCAGTGGTCAGAGCCAGAACCCTGTGGCCTGGGGGTTGTTTTGTGCTCAAGGGAGAAGCGAGGGGCAGGGAACCTCGCGTGGGTCCCTAGCTTGTTCCAGGGTGGCGGCGCCAGGGAACTCCTAACATGCCCGCGGCACTCCCGGATCCTAAGGAGCCCCTTCCTGGTTTGGGCGTCTACACTCTGCCCGCTCGGCAGCCACCGGGAGTTGGCACGCGGGTGCGTTGTCGGGGTTGGAGACGTCTGAAATTGGAGAGCGCACTCGGCCCCCACCCCTCGTTCCAGGGAGCGTGTGCGGGAGGAACAATTGTGTGTGAGTGCGTGATTCTCTGCACTTCGAGTAGCAGTTTCCAGCCAGGCTGAGCGCCGGGACATATACAACCCGCGGGACGTATACCCCCTCCCCCAAGTTACTCCTCATCCGCCTTTCGCTGCCACCCCTAGCTCGCGCGCGGTCTAGTTCTGCGCTCATGGGGTCCCATTTCCTTTCACCCTGGACTGCTGGGGGCAGCTCTCAGTCTTCCCCGACGAGCCCGAGTTCCCGCCAGTTTCTAAGGAGCCGAGGGCACGGACACGGGTGGGGGCGGAGGGCGGGGAGAGAAGACTGTGACTTTGGGATTGGCCCGGTCGGGTGCATGTGGCCCCCGGCGAGCAGCCCCCGCCCCCGCCCCGCAACCGCCGCCGCATTCCCAGGGGAGCGCGGAGGAGGAGCCGCTCCCCGACTTCGTGGGCCACGAAGGGGTGGGGGTCAGGAGCGGTCTTCCCCGCCCCGTCCGTCTCTGCCCTGACGGGGCAGTTGGCTTCCAGGGCAGCCATTGCCATGGAGACCCCCAAGGCTATAAAGTCAGGTATCCAGGCGGGCGGCAGCTCCCACGCCGCCGAGCCCCCCAAGTAAGGAGCAAGCGCCCCGGCGTGGCCCGGCCCCCGCGAGAGGGGAGGAGGCGGAGGAACGGCGCCAGCAGCTTGAGGAGCGGCGCGCCCCGCCAGGGCTGGAGGCAGGCGTGCACGGCGGGCGCCACCGTCGCTGCGGGGGAGCGGGGGCTGCCCTGGGTGCGGGTGAGTGGCACGGCTCCAAACCACTAGGACTGAGGGGCGCCGGACACGGGGAAAGCGGCGGGAGAGCCGGGAGAGGGTCGAGACTCGGCTGCCGACATCTGGTGGCGGGCCAGGAGCGGAGCCTGGAGTAGCGAGCAATCAACACCTCCAGGCGGGAGGCCCGGGGAAGGAGCGGCGAGACGCCAGGCGTACGGCCCAGCAGCGGCGGGGCAGTCGGAGCCTCCGGGACACCTGAGTAGGAACCTCGGGACCGTCGGCTGCAGCCGCCCACGCGCGGAGGGAGAGGTATCACAGCGCGGGCGGAGGCCGGTGCCCCGCGGGGCGCGAGAACAGGGGCGCCCCCGTGCGGAGCTGCCAGGCTGCCGGGGCGCGGCGGTCGGGGCCATGCTCAAACCCAAGGACCTGTGTCCCCGAGCGGGGACGCGCACCTTCCTGGAGGCCATGCAGGCGGGCAAAGTGCACTTGGCCCGCTTCGTGTTGGATGCGCTGGACCGCAGCATCATCGACTGCCGAGCGGAGCAGGGCCGTACGCCGCTCATGGTGGCCGTGGGGCTGCCGGACCCCGCTCTGCGCGCGCGCTTCGTGCGGCTGCTGCTTGAGCAGGGTGCTGCCGTGAACCTGCGGGACGAGCGCGGCCGCACCGCACTCAGCCTGGCGTGCGAGCGAGGCCACCTGGACGCCGTGCAGCTGCTAGTGCAGTTCAGTGGTGACCCCGAGGCGGCCGACTCTGCGGGCAACAGCCCGGTGATGTGGGCGGCGGCCTGCGGCCACGGGGCAGTGCTCGAGTTCCTGGTGCGGTCCTTCCGCCGCCTAGGCCTGCGCCTCGACCGCACCAACCGTGCGGGGCTCACTGCGCTGCAACTGGCTGCCTCCCGCGGCCACGGGACCTGTGTGCAGGCCCTCACCGGGCCCTGGGGCCGCGCCGCCGCCGCAGCCGCGGCCCGGGGCTCCAACTCCGATAGTCCCCCTGGCCACCCTGCCCCCGCGCCCAGCCCCGAGCGTCGACGACCCAGCCCCCGCCGCCTCCCGCGGCCTCTCCTGGCGCGCTTTGCGCGAGCGGCGGGCGGCCACGGCCACGGCGGCGAGGCTGGCTCAGCGGGCAAGAATTCGGGCCGGCACCGGGCGCAGGGCAGTGAACGGCCCGAGCTGGGTCGGAGCATGAGCCTGGCGCTGGGTGCGGTGACCGAGGAGGAGGCGGCCCGCCTGCGGGCTGGGGCCCTGATGGCCCTACCAAACTCGCCCCAGTCTTCGGGGACTGGGCGGTGGCGCTCACAGGAGGTGCTGGAGGGAGCGCCCCCAACCTTAGTGCAAGCCCCCATTGGCCTCAGCCCCCATCCGGAGGGCGGCCCCGGCTCCGGCCGCCTGGGTTTGCGCCGACGCTCCACAGCCCCAGATATCCCCAGCCTGGTCGGTGAGGCGCCGGGGCCCGAGAGTGGCCCTGAGTTAGAGGCCAACGCTCTGCCTGTCTCGGTGCCTGGGCCGAACCCTTGGCAGGCGGGCACCGAGGCCGTGGTGCTGCGTGCTCAGCGGTAAACGGCGCCAAGGCCCGAGGCCTGCTTCCCCCACCCTCCCGTTTCTACTCCACTGGTATTTCTTCCTTATGGGTCCCTCACCTTTTCGGCAGCCGCCCCCCGCAGCCCATTTTGGAACCTGCCTCTCTGCCAAGGCGAGACCTCCACCAGCCCTAAGGGACCTCCATCTTTTTTTGTGCTCCTCGGTATTCCCGGCCTAGGTCTAGAGGTGTCGATTGACTGGTTCCGCAGGCTACAGCCAGGAAGGTGGATTCCCCCTCCCCAGCCCTCAGGTTCAGTCCTGGGTCTGCCTAGCCACCTGTCGCTCCTCTCCGGCCCCCCTCCCCTCGCTGGGTTTCCTAACACCCGGGCAGCCAGGCAAATAGAAGGGTCCACCTTGGAGAATAAAGACCAAGCCTCCCCACTCTCTGCCTACAGATGCTGAGAATAATCCCACAAACTACCAAAGTCTCCTTTCCCTCGAAGTGTGGGAGAAGGAAAGGACCGAGGGGGCCCTAGAGCCTTTCTGGACTGGAGGGTTGAGGAGGAAGGGGTCTGGCTGTTATGTTTTTCTAGGGTAGAAACTCCTGCCTGAAGACAATGAAACCGTATTTTGGGAGTGGGAGAGTCCCTAGTGTTGAACACCAATTGTCCCTTGAATCAGCTCCTGGGTAACTCCAGCTCCCTCTGTCTCTGCCCCAGGATTCAGCTTCATTGATAATGTGGGGTCACTGCTCCACACAACCCCTACCCAGGCCAAATCCGGGCTCCTGAGCCAGCCCGCTCTTCAGCGCGGGTGCATTTGAATTCCATCATCGAGGTTCAACACCTCACCCCTGGAGGCCCAAGCCCTATTTCCGCAGGCTCACAGAGGCCTGAAAGGGAAAGGACTGAGCGCTTCCCCGCCTCCCAGCTCCCCCGTCCCGCACGTGGGTGCTCCCGCGGGGTGGAACGGTTGCGAAGGCTGTGCTTAATTGTATTTCTTCCAATCCTCAAAGAACTCGTGTTTTAAGCCTTTGTATATGAAGCAGAAAGCAGCGGGTCTGATTCCGAGGCTTAAGAGCCTGACAATATCTCTTTAAATAGAAGCTCCGCGAGGGGGATAATTGACTGAAGTGTTTGCGACGTGAAACGGCGGCGCGCGGGAGTCGGGAGCCCACACGAGCCGCAGGCCCAGGTTTAAATTACATCAAACTCTGGCGAGAGCTGGAAGGGGCCTGTTAAACGGCTCCTGCTTCTCGCTGGGCCGTTAACGGAGGGCAGGGCGGATGATCGATGCTGTAGGTAGAGACCCGGGACTCCTGCCTTGGTCCCACCGCGTGGGAAGCAGGCCGGCCCAGGTTTATTATTGGGCAGATGAGTGAGTCAGAGGCCCTTTCCTCACATTGCCCCCTGCCTGCTCGCCCCCACCCCTCTGCCCCGTGCTAGCCTAGCGAGGCGGCGGGGTTGGGGGCGGGGGTCCGGCGGGGCGCGTGCGCTAGGACCCTGCGGAAGTGCTAGCACGTGCGTCAGTGCGCCTGGCCCGCGGGGAGGCGGCAGGTGGGGCTGTTTCGTGAACCCTGAGGGTGGAACTTGAAGCCTTTCACCTGCCTGCAGTCGGGTCTTTGCAAGACGTCGATCTGTTTGCCTTTGCGGTACGGAAGGTTTCTCGCCAGTAACCCCCAGGGAACTGCCCAGAGCGAGAATGACTGTGCCGAGATACTGCTGGGCCTGGCGGTGAGGGGTGGGGGCCCAGGAGTGGGCCTCGTGCAGGTGTCCGGACACCTACCCAGTCCTTGCACTCCGCAGCCCGCATCCGCTAGGCCACGCAGGCCGGCGCACTGGACGTGATCTCTGGTGCCCCCTGGTGGCAGCGTTGGGCCCTCCCCGCTGGGTCCCGGCTCGGAGCTCAGACACCTGGTTTTCTTTAGGATCACCCCTGTGTACTTCTTCCTCCATGTGCATTTATCGTGGAATCCTCTTCCTCTTGTAGAATATTAAATCCGGATACTTGAAGTCACTTCACAGCAGTGAAGCGAGGGAACAATGAACAAAACACTCGCATCGAAAGTAGCAGGAGCCCAGACCCTTCACTAAGGACCCCAAGTTAAATCTTCCAAGTTAAGGCTGCGTGTCCTGAGAGCTACTGCTCTCTTCCGAAAAGTCGGAGCTGCCAACCCTTCCCTTGGGACCTGCCGATTATGCAGTTTTTTCTGATATTTGCTGTGGTTTCTGAGGTATTCTGCCCTCTCCCTCTCCTCTTCTCCCAAAACATCTGCCTCTCCTCAGTCCCCCTGTCTGGGTGGTGGGTGCACAATACCGAGTGCCTGAAAAGCCTGAGGGAGAGGGTCTGGGGTGGGGTGGGGACCACTGGACACCCCGAGTGCAAACTGCTGCTTTCTGACCCTTGCTTGCTCATGTACTCCCTTTTCAACTGTGTTGAATTTTAATGACGTTTTTAGTGGTGTAGGAATGCAAGTATTTTGGCTCAACAGCATGAAGTCTGGGTTACACATTGTATCAGAGGTGCTGTAATCTTTCCAGTATCTCTGATATGCGGCTTTCTGGTTGAATGTCACCCTGGGCCCTCTTGACTGGATAAACAACCATGAGGGCTCTTCTCTGTGGAGCTGCCGAGAGCTTGGTGGTAGAAAGTGACGTTCCTAAACAACTGCATCGTGTGTCTGACTGCCTTGCTGTCCGTACAGACTCCTTTCCAGGCCCGGCTCCGTGCAGAACTTCCACATTTTTCTCCCCTGAATTCCCTTTGTCAGCCCCAGGGTGTTGAGGCTGGGTCCTCTTTAGCAATCTCTACCTTCAGAAGAGACTTTTCTAAATCTTTTGCTTGTCCAATTCTTGTTGCTTTTGTCATTGTGAAGAGTCACCCAGGATGCTGGCGCTCGGTACCCTAAGATCAGAAGCGGTCTGTGTGTGAGCTGTGGGACATACGCACACCCTTTCAGAGTGATATTGTGTGGTGGAAGGACTGTTAGAACTCAAAGAATAGTTAATAAATCCAGTGTTATTCCGTTGCGAGAACTGGCCTCTCTTTGCCTTATCAAGCACTCCTGACCCTCGGCTCCCTTTGGAGAGATGGACTGAGCCCTTGCCTCCTATGGAGGCCCCTGCCTTAGTGAGCCTCTGCCAGGCCCGTCCCACTGTGCTGGCTCCTGAAGGTAAGTCACAGGTGCTGCTTCTGCTGAGCTGGGTGGTGGGGCCAGGCCGGCAGCAACACCAGGGCACCTGTCAGGGTGTGAATGCACTGGGAAGTGAAAGAAAGGCTGCGTGGTTTCTTGCTCCTGGCTTGCCCCTAAACCCTGGGCAGTGGGAGATCTCAGGAAGGAAGTGCGGGAATCCGTGCGGGAGCTGGAAATCGCAAGATAATTGTATCCACCTCCCCAACCCCAGGAGGAGAGCCCAGGCTCCCTGGTTTCCAGCCTCTGCTCCATTCTTTCTCAACTCCACACCATCTCCCTCAGTACTGAGGAGTGAGACAGGGACTGCTCTCCCACTGGAAGCAGTTTCAGACCACTTCCTGTGGACGCTGGAGGTCCGGGGTCGGGGTGAGGAGCCGCAGAGGATGGGAGAAGCCGACACGTAGGGTGGTCGTCAGCCACTGTGCTCACCCTTAGCAAACGCAGCGCAGGGTCCTGGCTTTCCTTGTGGGCTCTTCTCCCCTGGGAGAGTAGCCCGGTCTGTTTTTCATCGCCTTCATTCCCAGGGGCCGTTCACTTCCTGTTTCCCTTCCTCTCTGCCTGCCTTTCGGGCCCACAGGTCACCAGGGAAGTTGGGTGTTCTGTGGTGTGGCTGCTGGAGAGCTCATGTGGGGAGGAGGGGAGGCTCCACGAGATTCACCCACCACAGGCGGCCCCCCCGTCCAAGACTGCCGGTCTCGGCTCCCAGAGACACAGGAAGCCCAATGGCTTTGAACACTCAATTTAATTTAAAACAGGCACAAGTGCAAACAATTCACAAAAATTTCTAGGGAAGATGCTTTTGTTTTGAAAACTCTGACCCTTAAAAAAAAGTCCTTGCAATTTCTTTGCCCCCATGTAGGTCACTAGGGAGCAGAAGAATCTAAAAATATTATCTAGATAGAAAGGGTCCAGACACCTGAAGTTCTTTCCTGGAATTCCATCTCACAGCAGCCCTGAAGTGGGGCGGGGCCGAGGAGGACAAGGAGACAGCTGTCTGTGGAGGCAGCCGGGGCAGATGGTTTGCACAAATGGGTGCCTGTGACCTTGACGTGATGGAAACCCGGAGGTGGTTCGCCTTCTCTCCCAGATAGGGTTCTGAAGAGAACAATGGGTCCCTGATGACCTGGTTATTGGGATAAACTTGAAAGGTAACACAGTTACCATTCCTTAAATTCCTGTCTCTGGCCCTCACGCTGCACAGTACAGGAGAAGCTCAGAAGCCTCCCGAGCCCCCAGGATGTGTTAGACTTAGCAGGGACCACTCCACTGGCCAGGTAGACACAGGACTGGAGAGGTGGAAGCCAGGCCAAGAAAGCAGGTCCCTTTAGGCCAGAACTTAGTGGGAGAGAGGATGGGGCAGCCTTCCTGAAGCTGGCTGTGGGTGACCTGAAGGGACCTGGGCTGTCAAGGTGGCTTTCCTCCCCTTACACACACACACACACACACACACACGATGTTCTCTCCATTCTGTAAAGTGAGAGCACCTTCACCACCAACCCCATTCTTTCTTTTTCACTCAGAAATTGCCCCCTCAATCCCTGCCCACAGCCATGGCCTGGAGCAGGCCATTCACAGTTCTGGGCAGGGAGGGGCCGTACAGCTGGGACTGCACCTTCAGGACATCAGACGTGAGGGAGGAAGCGGGATTCAGGTCATAAAAACCACCCCGTGGCCCGTGGCCCGTGGCCCTCTCGAGACCCGAGGTTTGAAGCTGGAGCTGAGAACAGCAAGTATCTGTGGAGACCAGCAGTCTGCCCTCTGCAGTGGCCTAGGACGCTAGTGGACAACTACCTTTAAAAAACCACAGTAGCCTTTTCTACTGTGTTGGCTGCAGAGGCCAGGAACGCTGGTCTCTGCATTTCTTAGAAATATCCCTGTGCAGATATCAAGGGGTCATCCTGTAGAAGGGGTCTCCATCTGGGGACTCAGGAGGGAGAGACACTGAGGGGGCAGGTCCGGCCTGGCCCAGTGGGCTGAGGGGCAGAGGGTGGGGCTGGGGCTTCACATTTCAATCTTTGGAGAGAATACTGAGAGGAGGAGGCAGGCAAGCCCTGCCGGCAGGCTGGCTGCCCCGTGTGCCCTGCCTGTGGGCACAGGTGGCAGGTGTACTCAGAGTGGGCTCAGCAGGTGGAGGTCTGCTTGCGGTAGAGCTGGATCAGGGGCACCAGGCACTCGGGTAGCCCTGTCTGCAGCAGGAAGGGGTGGTCTAGGAGCTCCTGGGCTGTGGCTCTCTCTTGGGGGTCCCGCACCAGCATCCGCTCCAGGAAGTCTCGCAGCACTGGGGAGACCTGTAGAGACAGGGCAGTGAGATTAAGCCACAATTTGCAGTCACTTTGGGGTGACCTAATTGCCTGGCCCTGTCATTGTTTGAAAGTCTTGAATTCGCTGGTTTTTTAACTTCCTGTCCCCTTGCCCCTCCCCACCCCCCAAGGCTGTCAGTATTCAGATGCTATAGCTCTGTGGAAGGGGCAGAGAATTGGCATCAGTGATCCAGGCCTGGCTCTATCCCTGATCTCAGGCAAGTCACAGTTTTCTCTAGGCCTCAGTTTTCTCATCTGTAAAATGGGCTAGTGATAAAGTATGCTTGCCCTGTCTGCCACATAGGGCTTTTGAGAAGATTTTAAAAACAGGTCGTTGGGTGCAGTGGCTCATTGCCTGTAATCCCAGCACTTTGGGAGGCCAAGTTGGGCAGATCACAAGGTCAGGAGTTTGTAGACCAGCCTGACCAACATGGCAAAACCGCGTCTCTACTAAAAATGCAAAAATTAGCTGGGCGTGGTGGCACATGCCTGTATTCCCAGCTACTCAGGAGGCTGAAGCAGGAGAATTGCTTGAACCCAGGAGGCGGAGGTTGCAGTGAGCCGAGATCACACCACTGCATTCCAGCCTGAGCAACAGAGACTCTATCTCAAAAACAAAAACAAAAACAACAAAAACAAACAGGTCAAGGATGAGGAAGTGCTCTGAAAAATAGAAAATAAAGTGAGACCTGAAAAGGAAGATTTCTTTGTTGCTCTAGGCCTTAGAGTCTAAGGCAAGGGCTTATCTTGGTTCATTTTGAGCCAGTATCTTGGCATGAGGCTCAGTCTTGGGCAGAAGGCTACATCCTCTGAGCAATTAGCCAACTAGAGATCTTTATATGCTAATTTTGGAGTTAGCGGTGCAGGCTCCAAGGAGCAGTTGTCCTGGAAGATGTTTCCGGTTGGTCCTCTCATCCAGCTTTGTGTTGGGGCCACAGAACTCTTTTTTTGCTATTTAGAGGCGAGGCTTCAGCCCCCTGAGACATTTCTAGCTTTGGCCACCAGATGGCGATGCCACTTAGCAGCCTCGTGCTGACCTGCCAGCAGGGGGCGTCCACGGTAAGGCCTGCGGGGTTGGGGCGGATTTGGCAAAAAGGGTTACATGTATACACGTCCATGCACATATACTGGCTTTAAGGGGAATGCTGTGGCTCAGCTGTGTCGGGGTGTGCAACAATGGAGCATGAGCCAACTCGCCGTGATGGACAGGGACATGGAATCATGGTACGGATCTCCTGACACTTGGGGTAGAAGGGTTTGTGCTCAGTGAAGCTTCTCCAGATTCCTTCCGGGACAGCAGGGATTGCTGGTGTCCTGGCTTTCCCTGCTCATGGGCCCCCCTGGGCTTCCGACCAGTGCCTGCCGAGTAGCAACCATCCTGCCACAGCCGTGGGAGGCGACTTGTTGGAGCGCACATGCGAACTTGTGCATAGATGCGGCTCCACACCCAGGTGCAGGTTTTGTGTGGAGAAAGAGGAGCCTTTTCCAGGAGCCCAGACCGTGTAGCTTCTGTGGAAGGGAGATGCTAGGAGCCTAGGCTCTGGTCCTCTTGCCTCAGGAGGAATGGGGTCTGCGAGGTCGCACCCTTGTGTGCCAACTGACCTTGTGAGAGTTTTTCAGCTTGGGCGGGGGGCTGTCCCGGAGCCTCTTCATGGCTTGCACTGGGGAGTCACTGAAGTAGGGTGGCTCCCCATCCACCATCTCAATCACCATGATGCCCAGAGACCAGATATCCACCTGCAGGAGGAAAATGTCCCTGACCCCATGGCCAGAGCCTGGCCTGGCCCATTGCTAGCCGTGTTCTGGTGGCGGCAGTGGTGGAGGGGGGACAGCTGGCCCCAGCTCTCCTTGGTGAGTGTGTCTCCTTCCTCCCCCGGCCACCTGCCCCATGGCCAGTTACTGCCTGCATGAGTGACCACTGCCTATAGGGACACAGCTGTCAGTCACTCAGAGAAAGGCCATCATCCATGGGAGGCCTGGCCATACCCCATTCTGCCCTTGAGCTGAGCAAACACTTGCAGGACTCGTTCCTGGCAGCCAGGTCATGGGCGGGAGCAGCCCCATGGAAAGGGGAGAGTGTTGACTAGGTGGGACTCTGACAACCAGGGCTGCTTTTGGTGAGGTCACCGGAGGGGACACAGCAGAAGGGCTTTTGGGAGGTCTGGGGGGTGGAGGGAACTGTTACCTCAGTGGCATACAGAGACCTGGAGATCACTTCAGGAGCCATCCAGTAGGGGGTTCCCACCAGGGACTTCCTCTTAGGGACGTCTTTGCTGATCTGAGCACAGAATCCGAAGTCCGAGAGCTTCACCTAGGGTTGAAAGCGGAGTGAGTGGTGGACTGGGAGGAAGTGGGAGCGTGGCTATGCCAGGGACAGTATGGAACCTACCCTGCCATCCAGGGTCAGCAGGATGGAGTCACTCTTGATGTCCCGGTGGATGACACCCTGGGCATGCAGGTAAGCCAGGGCCTGCAGCACAGCCTCACACACAGTGGCGATCTGCTCTTCATTCAGCCTGGATAGGAAGGTGGGGCC